TATCTGAATGTCTAAATAACATCCAGTAGAAAGGTAACTCATTAATGAAATATCTGACAGTAACAAGCATGTACCAAGAGAAGACATGCAGATGTCCTCTTCTGCCTTGTAATTGATGTTATTGAAATATAAAAAAATCAGTATTTTTTGATGATAATGCTTTCTGTGTAGCCTACATATTCTCATGAAAATCAATCTGAAATCAGCTTTCTGTTTTATAGGAAAAAAAATTACTGGAGGAAAAAAGTGTGCTAGTCATGACATAAAACTGAAGCAGGAACTGAGATTTTACTGGCCACCAGGTCTTTTCCCAATTTGAGTAAATTTTCTGATTTCTAGAAAGCATATCTTCTTGTCTAAAAAGTAATCTTTTGAAAGAGTTTTAACTTTTGTTTGCGAGGAGCTGATCTACCAGAGTAATGGTCATCCCAGAAAGGCTCTTCAGCAGACAAAGCTTTACTGGAGGTTGGAGCTTTACCCAATAAAAGGTGGTTTAACCAACAGAATTCAGGATGAAGAAACTAAGACAGGCCAGGGAAAGATGAAACACAGGAAGCAATACATGACTCATTTCCATGGAGATTCTTATTCTCCATCCCTCAGGTTAGCAAAGGAAAGAGAAGGAGAGGTAAAAACATGAAAGAATAAAAAGTGGCAGTGAGCAGGATAGAGAGAAGAAAAAAGGTCAGGAAGGTCAACAACAGCATAATTATCTGTCTTGGGATAGGCTGTCAAATAAAGTGATAATACTCAGCTTTCTGAAAATCATAACCTACCTTAATTCATTGAGCATCTACTAGATGCTTTGCAGATGCTAAATAAGCTCCTCTGGCTGCTCTGGTTTCAATTATAATGGAAATGCTTCAAGCTGCATGAAATGGTGCATAGCCTCCTTTGTCCCACATGTAGCAAGGTGATTCAATTACTCTTGTCTCTACATCCTTGAGGGTTACATCCCCAAATCTCAGATGCTGACTTGCTTGGTTCAGATCCTAGCAACACTGTGAGCTTTACTCAGCCCTGGCCAAACACTGCGTTGCAAGCTTTGTCTAATTTATACTCCCAAGATACAGCAGTGAACTACATCCTCAGTCTCATTTCATTATAGCTACTAAAACCTTACACAGTAGAAAGTTTCTGCATCCACTTCATTTGTCTTGTGTCTATATAATGTTTTCTGGTCTTAGTCTACTTGGGTTATTCAAAATATAAGAACAAATAAACCCAAGGCATGTATCTTATCAACAAATGAATACCATGGATCACGCAACATAGCTATGACTTTCTAATATTTCCTTGTCTTCTGTGCCAAAGCTTCCTTCAATATCAAAGGTCTACAGTGATATACTGCCTCTGCACTTGCAAAGTCAGGTCATCAGTGTACCTCTCCCATAAACTTTTTTTGTGTAGCTATTTCATGCAGTTTCTGTGTTGAAGGGGAAGCAGTCAGCCTATTCCAAGTGATTTCTGATTGAGTGCTAAGGATAAACCGATGTGGTGAAGAATCTAAACTAGGCAGACACCTATAAATTTGAAAATGAGTGAGTTTACCACAGAAATGATCAAATATTGGACAAAAATGTATGCATGTACTGTAAAGTGCACACAAGCCATGTGTGATGGCTTGAGTTTTCCTGTCCGAGTCTCATGGAGTTTGTATATTCACAGGTATTCTTATCCTGACCAGAGGACCCTGTCAAATATGTATTTGGGGTTCCACATACTCAGCCGTTAGTATGTGTATCTGTGACAGACTTTGTACTTTCACTTTAGTAGTGATCCTTGGTTAAGCATTTTGGAGCTGGTACACTAAATGCCGGAGGTTGCAGAATGCATAATTCACAGACAGCTAATTCTTTACTAGTAACATTCAGCTGATATTTTCATATCCAGTGTAATTTGCAGATAATAGTGCTGTTTCCAGAATACAAAAATTTCAAGAAAAATTTGGGAAGAATTTGGGGAATATTTGGTGTTTTCATGAAGTAGATATTTTTTTTAGGTCAGCATTTGATCTCTTAATGTTATAGCAGCTGCTACATCATCAGAAAACCCAGCACTGAATAGTCCACATTAAAAACATTAGCCACTTGGGTTTAGAATTTTTGCTTGGATACCCTTTGGACAAAAATCTAAAACCTAAAGCCTTTTGAGTGTTCATGTTTTCAGCATTCAGATGAAAGATTTTTGGTGAAACAACGGGGTACTTTTTACAAACAAGTAATTAAAATACAATTACCAAAAAGTAACTACAAGATGTTTTCAGCTATCTCTATTCACAAGTTTGACCCCAAAATAGCTCAGAATATGTTGAACAGAGTATGTTTTCATCTGTCTTCAATTACGCAAGTCAGCCACTGAAGGCAAAAAGAGTCAACACTCTGTAACCAGCTTTCTTCATTCCATTACAGTACTCTGAACTTCCAAAGTGAAAAAGTTGTGAGTCATGACCAAAATCATGAGATGGGCTTAAAATCGCAAGATTTCAAAAAATAGATTTGGGGAACTTTAATTCACATGTTTAAGAGTTGTTTTATTTTTGGGGTGTTGGTTTTTTTTTTTGGGGGGGGGAGTTGTTGTTGTTTTACTAAAATACCACAAGAATAGAAACACATATTTTTTAAATAAAAGTTCCAATTCTTTGTAAGAACACATCTAGAAATCTGTGAATTTTAAGGAACACCAGATATCAAAAGGTTCATGCTAAACTCACAAGAGTTGAGAACACTATCAAGAACAAATTCTGTGCAGCTGACCCATGGTGCTCAACTCCTGCTGCGAGACTGGCATTTATAGTTTGAAGAAGTTTAGAGTTATGGTCCAGAGCGAGTGCTATTGTGAAAGGAAACCAATAAATCACCTGTAGAGAAACTGTGAGGCACACAGGAAAACAGAAGACTGCCAGGATGAATGCTGGGATTCCCTGCATTAATGAAAAGCAATGCACAGTGCTGAAAAGTCAGTGGAAATGTCAAAGAAACAGACACTTCCATTCTTCTTCCTAGATTTAAGAGGACAAAGGAAAACACTCAGTTTTGGTGCAGGGATGACACAAGGGAAAGCCCAAATTAAATAATTGGGGTTTTGAAGATTACTTATATTCTTCAAATAACAGTGTCTCGGTCTGTAGGACATCTGCTTTCTTTCTCCGTCTGCTCAGGCTGACTTCTGGGATAATAGAAAGATATCACAAACACTCAATTCACTTGTTTGCAGCAAAGGGTCTTTAAAGAAAACAGCTTTTGGCGATCTTTTTTTTTTTTCCCCGACTTGGATTTGAACATCTAGCTTTCCAATCCAGAAAGCAGATGTTTTAACAGTGACTGGGTAATGATTTTTAGCATGTTTTATATGATCTAAACATAATCCAACCAATAGAAAATGCTATTCCATGTTTAACATTGAGACTCTTTCCTCTAGCTTTTAACACAGAACAGCTGGAAACTGAAGCATTTTTGGCACAAAAATACAAAAATGGAAAGTTTTTTTCCAGTACAAAATTGTTTGCACTCTTTGTCCTGACAGTGCCACCTGATTCCCCCTGGAGGGATTAAATTTCTCCACATCCATCATATCCAAATGGTGCAATGTCAAGAGACCGGCAATACCCTTAGTTTGCCCATCCATGACTGACATTCAGTACATTTTTGTCTGAGTAGATGAGGAGGTTGACGTAAATTCCAGACTAGCATCTTAAGACACAAGCCCTTTTGTGTACTGACTTTTGCTCTCACTCTAGACTCTACATAACCTTATTTAGCATGTAAAGCGGTTTCAAGCAGGAGCTTGCAGATTGGCACTTTGTAAAATATCCTGCCTCATAAGCTACATGCGTTCAGTTCTTAATAATAATGATGATGATAATAATAATGATAATGGTAACAATAATGATAATGGTAACAATAATGATGATAATAATGGTAATAACAACAACAATAATAACAATAATAAATCATCTAGCAAAAATGCCAGGCTTAACAATAAACACGTCAGGATCCAAAAGTGCATCTAACAATACTGGTTCATATTACAGCTGATGTCAAAGCTAACACATTGTTAATCTAGTAAAAGTACACTGCAATTTATCAGAGCATGTCTGCCTTGCCAGTCCTAATATTTTATTTAATAATTTTGAATTGAAAAAAAAAAAAGGCATGAATTTTAACTGGTATTTAATCTAAGTTAACCAGTGGGAAAAAAAAGTCCAAGAATCTGGGAGTATTTAGAAAGCATCACCAAGGCTCCTGGCTCAAATACAGTTCTCAAGAGCCTGTTAAAATAAAAGATGTGTACTGAGTTTTCAGATTTCAAATACTTATGAAAGTCTGTTCCCATACAGACATTTTGTGTTTCCACACTCTCCATTTAAAAGATTCTATTTTTCTGTTGGTGAATGCAAGTAAAAAGTGAGTACAGTGATATTATTTATCTGTTACCTCTGGAAACCGCCCATAGGATTTGAAAAACATGTGGACAATTCAAAGCATGTCTCTCCGGGTGCCCAAACCCAGAAAGCAGTGAGAGTTTGCTGCACTGTTTCAAAAGAGAAACGGCAGCTTTCAGAATCATACCTACCATGCTCTTCTGAAACAAGAATCTGTGCTTGCCAAGTAAAGCTACAAAATGTTATTCTTTACAGTGTTCAAGAGTTAGCTCTTGGTATGCGAACTCTGACGTCTTCTTTCAATTTGCAGAGAAACTGCAGTTCATTAAAACTGTATGGTTTCAGTAAAGTTTCAATTTCCAGGTACTTTGAGAATTTCAGAAGTGTCTTAACCCTTCCAAAAATATGTTTCTGTGAATCTTGAGTCACAATTATTTTGCAGCTAAGCTAAGGATCCCAAATGGGCCACATGAAGTCTAGAATTGGGATGTAGTCTCACAGTTCATGTGCAGTTTTGAAAAATAGACTGAAAGGCACTCCTTGTAACTGTGCTGAGCATGAATTCACATGTGGAAGCACAGAAATTACTTGTGAAATTGTAACTTTTATTGCTCACCTTATTTTAGTTGGCTCTTTCATTCAGGTGCTCTTCAAATTTTTATCGTCATGAGGGGTCTCAAGTGTTTTTCTGTACCTATAAGGCAGGCAGTGTCTTCAAGAAAACAAATACATAAGCAGCTTTCTAATGCTTAAAAAAAATTCTAAAGTAAAATACAAGCATTCTTAGACATATTTAGCTTTATCCTGTGTAAGACTGTATTTTCAAGGACAGAAGTGGTCTTTTTTTATTTGGTGAAAAACTGGCTCAGTTTACCCAGAGAGGTGATGGATGCCCCATTTCTGAAGACATTCAAGGTCAGGCTGTGTGGGTCTCTGAGCAACCTGATCTAGTTGAAGGTGTCCCTGCTCACTGCAGGGGGTGTTAGACCAGATGGCTGGGAAAGGTGCCTTCTAACCCAAACTGTTCTATGAGTCTATGACTCTATTTTGGCTACAGTGTAATTTAGAGAAAGTATTAAGTATTTCATTATTTTTAAAAACTTTTCTCATGTTTTAGTATCTACATTATAATTCAAATGATTCTTCTCTCTCTAAAGGTTCACAATACCTTCAGCTCAGATGCAACATGGAGTTTCTCTAATGCTCCATTTCTTAGAAGCATCTATGGCATGATTAGCTTCTTATTCAAATGAATAAAGCAGACACAGCTGTTAGGTTTCATGGATAGAAAGGGAGAAGGAACCTTTCACAGCACTTTGAAGTTTTCAAGTGTTTTTTCCTTACTGATGCAGCCGAGCAACTGCAGTTTGCTTAGAGGTGGTAAAAATGAAATAATTTATTTTTATTGCACATTCCAGCCTAATACACCATGGAATACATTTAACCCCTAAAGAACAGGCTTAGGGCTAAAGTACTTGCCGTGGTGAAAGGGAAAACAAATTGTCATGATGACTGTATTTGATCTGTTGAAATATTTCACCCTCAGCACCATGTGCGTCCACACAAACAGAATAGCGCCACTGTTTCCTGAAGATTCACTGTACATATGATCATCCATTAACTGGAAAAAAGGCCAACCCAGATATGTAGTCAATGTGTTTGTCTTAATTTAAAAACAAAATGTAGTTAGTAGCTAAAATAATAAGTATATGGTCCACTCCTAATGGCCAGCATCACCTCCCTAATGAGAGTCCAAAAATCCCTATATACCATTGGTAAGGATAAACAGAACTTGAACTGTGCACAATTGGTATAGATGTGCAGAACCTGAAGGAACATTTCAAACCACCCCACAGAGAGACACCTAGTGTTTCCTTGAAAATACACTGTCTGCTAGTCAGCTGTAATGCATGCATGCATGTAATTTTATTAATAATGAAGCCCATGCCAACTTCAGTGAAAGGCTGACATACATATCAAGTGAGCTCCAAGCAGTGACTTTCAGACACCAGACAATTTCAGCAGAAGCTACACTAAGACACACATAGATGAATTCTCTTCCTTCCCAATCTAAGGATGACACCAGCCACATCTTCAAAAGGGGAACTGGTTGTTTGAATTTCCTGTAAGACAACAGCAGCCTGGTGTGGGGCTCTACCTCATTTATACACAATCTTAATTCATCTTTTGCTGCTCTATTCTTCCTCTCTTTTCTTATCATGGTGTCCCAACAGCAAAATAAAAAGCAGCAAATATTGGATATTTGTGAAAGACTATTATTACAAGGTAAAAGTGATTTAATCTTTTTGACTTCAGTAGTAGAGATTAATTGGTGGAGATTATACAGACTAAGACCTTGAACCTAAATAAAGAGGTATGAAATAGGGGTAATGATGAAGTCATAGGAGCTGTAGAAAAAGCAAACGGGGAATGGCTATTCATTACTTTCCATACTACCAGACATGTGAACATAGCAGGTAGCAGATATGAAACACTTCTTTACACAGAGAAAAATTAAGATGTGGACCCTTGTGTATGTGGTACAGCTCAAAAGAACACAAATCCTTTCAAAAAGGAATCGGATGACCATGATGGGCCAATACAGTACAATTGCTGATCAGGGAGGCTGGGAGGGCTGATTCAGAAGAGCATCATCCTGCACATGCTCTGCTCCTGACCTGCTACCCAAGCACTGTAGAGATAGACACCTCCATTAGGGCCTGTGCAAGTGTCACCCAACAACCTGTGAAAAGATTAACACAGAGCTAATATAGTAAGTCCCATGGAGCTCTCTTAATCCAGTCCTGGTAGCTTAGTTCAGACTGAAGAGGTTATCGTAAACAAATATAACCCAGAGACACTCACTCTGATTTACTAAATTGGGCTCAAGCAGTGGTGGGGAGGAGTCTTTGCATTCCACTCTCTGACTCTTGACACAATTTAAAGCAACATTTTCTGATATTATCTAAATGGAGAAAGGTTTCCAGTGAGTGAGCGAGCTTTGATTATGAAATTCCAGGGCAGAAGTTTGACTTCTGCTTCCCCATGTACATGTTGGTGTTCAGATTAGAGGCTGTGTGCATGGAGCAGGAGGGTGACAGTATGGAAGAGGAGTAAGGACTCATTGCAGTACTTGTATAGAAACAGAGGAACTCATTAAATAACTCTCTGGAGAAGAAATTTACTACTTTATTCTAGAAGCTCTTACAGAAATTAGACTGGTAAGAGCACAGTTATTGAGTAGTGTACTCAGTCTTCAGAGCACCATCACAGTTAAAAGCCCTTTCAGTATTTGTGAACGTAGCCTTTTAAAATGGTTTTGGAATTCTTTCTGTGGGTTTTTTTTTTTTTTTACCCATACAATCTCAGTATGGCAGTACTCAGATATTATTATGAGACAAATCATAAAAGTTAATGATGAATGGAGGATGAAAGAGCACTAAACTAAACTGCAGTAAAAAATATAAAAATAAAGTAAAACAGCCATTCAATGACCAAATTCAGGATAATCAAAAGTGTTTCACATGAAAAAAATATTCAGCGTCTGAACAGAGATAAATCTCAGATTTTCCTTGTGGGCTGTAGTCCTGGGTTCATCAAAGGATGGGTCACGTATTCGAAACATTCTGTGATCTGCATTGTGGCACTATGGCTGTTCCATGACCTGCTAAAAATATTTCTAAGCCTTGTTTTCATAAAGGAATTAGATGCAGGAAAAGAGCAAAGAAAGCTGTAAAAAATAATCAGAAGTTGGTGTGCATGCCAAGACCCTTAGGGTGTTATGATCAAAGTACAGCAATAGTTGCATATGCCATTTCCCTGAGGCCCAGTGTCTATGTAACAATCCCTACAATTTTTACCAGGCAATAACACATTGTTTACTGAACATTAAAACTGCAGTGATAATAGTCTGGACTACAGTTAATGCTGGTCTGTTGAAGGCATGAATCTACTCTGAATCCTGACTCCCCCACAACATGGACAGCAAGACTAGTTCCCTGATACTGGCTTCCATGACACAGCTGCTCCTAGGGCCCCAAGGGAGCTGGACATGAGTACTCCTGAAGTCAGTCATGAAATTACCTTAAATGCTATGCTGGTCAGGATTAACTAGAATTCTTCTCATCCACTCTTCGGTCTTCACCATAGGGGTGCATGCCACACAAAGTAGCTATCTTCTATATGGTTAAGGGGGAAGTAAATGGAGAGGTGGCAAAACGAAAACACCTCTTGTTTGGACAGAGATCCAGGAAGAAGACAGAGGACTTCTAATTCAGGGACTAATGACTTCTAAAATCTAGGCACATGCCCTCAAATTATTGCTGCATAACTCAGAATTCAGTATACAAGCTCCCACTCTGGTCAACAGAAAGAGGTGACTGTCTTCAAAGACAGGCTCAAGAGACCCAGAGGCTGAGCAGGTAAACAGCAGACTACTCCACTGAAAGTGCTGATAGCAAATGGGTGCTTAAACATGCACACACTTCTTAGATGTCCCATTTCAACATGCGCGTTTTTTACCCAGTCTAAAAGCACAGAATCCATACACTAAGGCACAAACTGACTGGGACTTCAGAAATAACATGGCTATTTCTAGTGGGTTCCCCTCTTTGTATGATGGCATACTGGCATGAGCAATCAGCCAAGAAAGGAGGCAGTGGGCTGTCAGGTCTCTAAAACCACATTGGATGAAAACCCTGCACTTCTGACCTGTAAATAAAACTTGTGCTACCAGGTGTTCTTGGAGAGGTCATTCCCAGCTTCCCTATCAAAGCTGTACCATCATGCAGATGGGAATGCCAGAGTAATGAGTCCAGAGAAATAGCTAACAAGAAGATGTATGCTCCTGTCTCCCAGCTCCTGGGTAAGTAACCATGAGACTATAATGAAAAAGACCTGACCACAATCATGGGAATTTTTCCAAGGAAGAATGACCAGGAGTGTTCTCCTCTGAAGCCAATTGTCAGAGACCACCATGTGCTCCAAGCTAAGGTACCCCTGGTCATGTAAGGGATACTGCTCTCATTTGCAGTGTTTTAATGGGAGCAAGAAGTAACATGCTGCAGTCTACATTCAGGCACATTAGGAAAACACACCCAGCACAGGAAGGGAGGTGATGCTTACAGAGAAGGAGTCCTAGCACACAGGTGGGATTGATGTACTTAGTTCTGCCAAGGTCTTAGCCCAGCACTGAAACCAATAGTATAGGTGCTACCTGGAATGCAGAGAGATAGCACAGATGCCCACCAAATCAGTCGCTCACAGGCTTCCCAAGAACCAAGTCCTCCAAAACATCAGATGGCTGTTACGCATCCACAGGCAGGCAGAAAGAGTGCCCCCGTTTTGGAAAGCAGTGACTCTCTTTTCTGCCTTCCAGGGGTGCATGGACCAGGCCCTGAAGAAAAAATAGTTGTAATTTGTCCAAACAACAACATTGTAAACATTCTTTATGCCAAAAGTAACATTTGGCTATGGGTATAAGAAGCTCGTAAATTAAACTTCCCCTGGCAATGCGAAATTATACATCACTTATGCCTTTAGTTGATCTGATTTCCTACTGAGTATGTCAAACACTAATCAAGTACAAAGGGAGGCCCCAGTCTGGCAAACACTTACTCAAGGATGACTCCCTTCATTTTAGTGGTACAAAAATTCAGTGTGAGTGGGAAGCAAGGTACGGGAAATGCGGGCAGGAACCTTCACAGGGAAGAGGCTTCACGTACTAGCTGAGGTATTCTGTTTGCAATGGACTTATCTCAGCGTCTTTCTTTTAAGTT